TGCCTTGCCAGCCCGCTCAGAGATGTGTATAAGAGACAGGCGCTACGTCGTCTTATGCAGGTGCAGTCTCCTGAAGATAAGAATATCGATCGCCGCATTCCTCAGACATTACGAGGTGCTGCATCGACTTATTTAATGAGTGAAATAATATTACGTGTGAAGCGAATGTATTACTTTTATCCTTGTTATCCCGTGCAGTCTCTTTTTAACACGCATGCTCTCGCTCTTTCTTATATTGTATAGCGCGGGCCATATAGGCGTTCTCTTTCGCATTCGCAGGGAATATAGGACTAAGCATAATTAGGTGGTCCTATTAAATTAAGTAACTCGTAAACGGTGTACGATGGAAATTCGGGACTTTGACCATGATTATTGTTATATTTCTATTATTTATTGGTGAATAGTGACTTTTCGAAAATTGCAATATCTTGAAAACTAAGCGTCGGAGAGAGCTCGGAATTATACAGGGACGTATAATCGGTTGCAAAAGTTAAAATTCCGAATAGTGAAAAATTTGTTTAAAATTTAAATAGGTAAACAATAAGTTAATTAATAAATTCTTGGGTCGGTTAGACTCGTTATAGATCCGGAAATTAATTTAGGTTAGTCTGGGACTTGTTGTTAATTTATTTTGTTATTCGGATACTTAGAATAATATGATGTTCTTGTAGTATCGGTTATGCGCGTTGTCACTATTTGTAGTAAGATTATTATAATTATATCCTGTGCCTGCCTCGGCTTATTTTACAAGCTACAGCGTGGAATCGAATTTATCGTGAAATTGAATTTATCAAATGGTAATTTCTCGAGAGTCGGTATTTCACTACCGTCGGTAATCTCTGATGGTAACCTTATCGGTCCTAGTTGACGTGAACTGAGGTCGGTAAGTGTTCAAGCAACCACTGTTGGTAACTTGTCGATGGTAATTTCGTTGATGGTAAGTTATCGATTCTAAGGTCGGTAAATTTACTCGCGAATTTTAATAAGTGAATAATCGTTGTTATTTGTATCTTTAAGTTAACAAATAATAGTTTTGAAATTAATTAGAATTTATTCCACGGTATTACTTGTGAATACGTATATATATATATATATATATATATGTAGGATAAATATAAAAGAATAATAATAAGAGATTACGTATTTATGTGGTTTATTGAATTAAATCGAATCGGTTGGATAACAGAATAAAAATTTAGACGGGACGTCACAAA